TATATTCATGTTTCTTATTTTCAAGCATTGCCTATTAAATTTCCCTTACGAAAGATGAAAATTTTGCTCTTTTTAACTTCCCCATTGTCAGGACAAGGGTCTAATGGCTTCCTCCTAATTTGGTTTTTAGATAATAGTTCTCTTTTAGGTCTATTTTGTCCAGGTTTCAGGAGGCACCTGGCATCACCATGTTCTGAGCTGGTACCCTGCGGTGCAAATCAGACTGCTCCCGTCTCCCTGGACACCACCACTTCTAGCTTTCTCAAGCCAGCAACTAAGCCAATTATCACTTGGTCAATTATCACTTGCTCAGCTGTTTTTCAGTTTCCAAAGTTTTGTTGCTCCTGTGCTTTGTCCTTATGAATTTGTGCCTTTAAAGAACTCTTGTCATTTTAATGGGCTTTAAATGGGAGTGAAAATTAAAGGTATGTGTTAATTTTCAGGAAATGTAACACTGATTTCTTTTTATTCTCTTCCAGAAATTTTTTTTTTTTTCATTTAAAATCACCTGATAAAAACACTCAACTCAGGGCTGGGGATTTAGCTCAGCAGCATAAGTGCCTGCCTTGCAAGCAGGCAGTCGTGAGTTCGATCCCCGGTACCAGTAAAAACGAAAAAGACAAAAGAAAAAAAAAACAAAAAAACAAAAACAAAACAAAACAAAACAAAACAAAATGAAACACTCAACTGACTATAGCAGTGTAGCATGGGTTTGCTTCTAGACCATCTTCCTTTCCCTTATGAAGCAGATCCATTCAGTGATGAGGAAAAAATGTAATTCTAAGAGATGCTATTGTTTAGGGACACTTAGAGAGATACTAGAAAGTGAAAAACATGTCTCCCTGACAGAACTGAGAAATTTTCCATGATTACAGATTTTCATAAAATGAACCGTCATGCTTCCTCTTCTATGTTTCTTACCACTTATCTGCCGCATGTGAGAAGATGTGGAGTATGTTTATCCAGCCATGTTAATTTACACAGCTCTTCTTGGATAGCTCTGTCATTTATGGCTTTCTTGGTCACAGAGAGTAAGGCAGGAGGCTAGAGTGTTGGCTAAAAATAATTGGAAAGTAGATGGAACCTGCTAATTGTAAAATCCTGGAAGGGTGTGGCAGACTAGTTGAGGAAGTATGATCTGTTAATTACAAAAGCCCAGGACAGGTAAGCAGAACAGTCTGCAAAGCCTGCACATGGACTTCTCCTGAGAACTACAGCAGGTTTTGATAGGATGGCCTATACCTGGTATCAGCTTGAGGAATGGGTGACAAAAAAAAAAAAAAAAAAAAAAAAAAACAAAGGACAATGAAGTCTTTGCTCTGTGTCTCTTCATAGAAGTCTACTCTCATACTGTGCAATATACTCCTTCTCTTACTTTTCCTTGGCCCGAACTCATTCTGCAAAGCCAGTTTCTTTCCCTACCTTTAATGTAAAACACTGCTACCAATTTCACTTATCTTGACTAAATCTTTGTTTAGGACAGAAAAAAATCTAGAAACCAGACTCTAACACCCCTAAACCCAGTAACAAAAATGGTAGCCCAGACTCTTTTATCACCCCATCATGATCCAATATTTAATTGGTCTCTTTGACTAGCACTGCTGACCTCTAATTCTGAACAAATGTGCCCATGCTTGTCCCTCTCTACAAAGCAGGTATTCTCCTAAGCACCACTTCCTTGTCCACTCCCTCGGTGGAAAACGTTCCTTTGTGTCTCAGACTTTCTCTCAACATCAGTTTTCTTATTATCTCAGAAGAGGAGTACTTTCCTAACATTCTGCTTTGCCCATTCCTCACAGTCATTCCCACTGTTCTCTCCAGGTTCCTGTCTGCCATCTGCCTCCTGGCCTGTAGCTGCTGGCTGGACTGGCTGAAAGTCTTCCCTGGCCAGCATACCTCTCGAGAGTCCCAGTCTTCTCACCTTTCACAACAGCATTCCCATTTCCCTTCCTTAAAAACTCAACAACATAGTCATGAGCATGAACCTGTCCTAACTGGATCTACTTTTGACAAGTGACTGGAGATCTGACTCCTTATTAATAGCAATTGCTGAAATTATTTTTATCTAATCAAACTCTAAATTTGTGTTTCAAAAGTTAAAAATGCTTCTAAAACAATCATTTTCTTGGGGAGCACACTTTGGGGACCTATATCTTCTTTTGCAAGATTAAATTCTGAAAGCAGAATAATCATTTATCAAAAGTAAAACTATGCAAATGTCTTTTGTACACAATATACATTAGTGTTTCTTCTTATGACTGATGATTATATAGCCTTATAATGGCTGTATCAGAAACAAAAAACCAAAGGAGCATAAAATCACTACTTGAGATAACAGAAGAGCTATGCAGGCCTTAACAAACTAACCTGCTTCTAAAGATGCTTTCACGCAGGGCACCTGAAACTGTCACACAGTAGACTATTTTTATTCTATAGCTCCAAAATCCTTGATAGACAGCCTTTTCAGTTAAGTACAAGGAAACACATCTCTTACCAAAATTAAACTAAAGAATAACATGAAGTAATTTTAAGAGAAATTATCAAGCAGTGAATTTGCAAAGAATAACCCAGAATAATAACTGAATGAACAGTTCTTTTATCTGATAGTTCTTTTAATAAACAGTTCTTTCATCTAATAAACAGTCCTGTTTTTGAATTCCACAAAGTCCACAATTCTTATATGTATATTTAGCACAATTAAATAATGTCAAATCACATTTAGTTAGTTAATATTCAAGAATGCACAGAATGTTGGAATAGATATCATTAAGACACAGAAAATAACTTAATATATAATCTTGGTGTCATAGGAAGTTAGCATCCTTTTTAAAAGATGGATGGCATTAATAAAATACAGAATAACTGAATAAGCTCCATCAACTGCCAGCAAATAAATGATTTGAAGGGTTGAACAGAATGGTTAGGAACAGATCTTGGGATCATGCAAAGGTCTCTCGCAAGACCAAGACAAGTTTAAAAGGAGAGAAGTATTACAGATTAACAGAGGGCAGAGAAGGAAGTCTCACCACAGGGATGATTTATGAAAATCTGATGAAGTAGAAACACATAAGCAATAAGAAATGCAGAGGGCAGCCCAAAGGGGAAGGGAAATGGTTTTCCAATACTCCCTCTCCTTCCTCGCTGCTTCTACAAGCACCATCTTCAACTACTGCCAACGGCCTCTTACCATTAGTCAGCTTCTGACTTTTAAAATTCTCTGCACACATTCGCCCATTACTTTACAGTTCAGTGCCCCTCCTGTTCTGCTCAAAACTCAGGCTTCTTCCCACTGCCTCAGAAACTAGCAGAGGCCCCTGAGAAACACACAGTAAATTTTCAGTGTACTGGCTGCATTTACTGCTGTATGTCTTGTTTAATTTGAAGGTTCTATATGGGAAAAACCAGATATTATTTTTTTCTTACTTTGGTGTGCAAGAGCTACCACATGATTTATCCAAATAAAATTCAAAACATATCTATTTAATGAATAAATAGATGGGGAAGTGTAGGCCAGTGGGTTGGCAATCTCATAGGTAAAGTTAGGACCTTAGATTTGATCCCAGACATCCTGATAAGCCACTGGGTGATTTTGTGTAGGGTAGTGATATGATAAAAGTGGTGTTTGAAACTTTTTTTTACCTGTAGATTATAGGGAAAATTAGCTTGGAAAGGACTAGAAGTAGGAAGACCATTTTGCTAACAGCATTTTGCTCATACAATGAAAAAAAGATGAGGATTTTGGAGTGTACGGATTAGTCACTAATATGAATGATCTTTTGATACATATGAAAAGGAAAATGGTCACTTATATCTTTGTCTTCAATCTGTTTTAAGCTAGTTATTTCTGAAATAGATGATTTTTTAAGCCTAGTAATATAGTCTTTTGATTAAGACAGCAACCAAAACCCTGGAAAACAAGAGCAGATATCCTTATTTAAAACTTAAAAATACTCTCCACATTAGAATTTTCCAAACTAACACTCAAACTTGAACCAAAATCCCTCCATTCTATGTATTTTATTACAATGTAGGATATTGAAGTTTTAAATTCTACTTTTGCTTCATGATGGTGCAAAAATGATACGCACTCAGTGGAATCCATTGTTTGAATTTTGAATTGTGATCTTTTCTCTGGCTCATGAGTTCTGCGCTCTCACACAAGACTGGGGAGCAGCAGTGGGCCAAGGCTCCCAGTCAGCTGTGTGATTATTATTGTCAACAACACATGCTCTACAGTGCACTGTGCTGCTGCACTAGTGTTCAGCAGGTGAGGTGGATCAATACATTTTGACCTATGACATTTTCAACTTGGCGACAGGTTGAGACATAACTCCACTGAAAGTCAACGAACATCTGGTGGTTCATATAGCTGAATTTTATAATACAGTGTGACATTTATATATTAAATTAGTAATTTAACAGCACAAATGTCAGTGCATTAAACACCCTAACTGGAGCCCATCTATGTTTTCTAAGAAATCATTCTTTTTCTGTTCAAACCACACCACCCTACTGTGTACTGGAAACTCACAGTTGCCTGGAAGGTTCAGAGGTCTGCAACACATGCAACATTGAGGTTCTTAGGCTTGGCTGTGCATTAGAAGCACCGCTTGGGAAGTTTTTTTTTTTTTTTAAACTTGACTTTATTTTTTTTTTAATTTTTTTTTTTTTTTTGTCTTTTTCATTTTTATCGGTACCAGGGATCGAACTCACGACTGCCTGCTTGCAAGGCAGGTGCTTATGCAGCTGAGCTAAATCCCCAGCCCCACTTGGGAAGTTTTAACACCTACTAATTCCCAGTTAACACCCCAGACCAATGCTGATGTATTTTGAAAGCTCCCTCCAGGTGAGTTTTTTTTTAATCCCCACTGAATCAATATTTTCTTTAGCCATGGAAAAATAATTTTATCTGATTTCTGGTGAGTATGAAAAAGATGACAAAGTTTAGAGAAAATATGATGTTGTTAATGCTTTTTTAAAGAAAAGAAACTTTCACTTACCGGACTTCTGACAGTGCACGATCTTTTCATATACAGTGTCTGCATTTTCAATCAGTGCCTTGAGGGACTGAATCATCTGCAAGGGAATATTCAGACAGGAGATTACACATGGCAGCCAGGCACCCTGATGCCTCATGCACTGGCCCTTTTAAACAAGCGACAGTGTTGATGCAAAGCACCTTTTATCTGACTTCCCATGACTCCAACTTGTGTAGGTGAAAAAATCATGCCTCCTCACACAACAGTTTAAGCAAGACTGAGTAGTAGTATGTTCCAGGTGTGATTAGGCCAGTATAACCCTTGAGCCTTGCACTGAGTAGGAGTCACTATGAAAAGTTATGAGTAAGTCTGTGTGCTCCTCTGATCTGTGTTTTAAATCACACATGTACTCACTTTTTTAACACATTCCACCTCAGAGTTCTAATGCCTACACTTTTACTCATTTCAGCCCACACATCTTTATCTGAAAATTACTTTAAAACATACAGTACAAATTTAAAAGCAGCATTTAGGTAATGCTATTGATCACAAATGATATTGACAATGCCTGGTATTTTTAAATGTTTTTATCAATGGCTTTTAAAAATACTCAATTTTTATTTCTTATTCCAAACTGTATGAACTTGCTTTAAGAGTCCAAGCTCAGAAAAAAAAAGGATCAGGTCACTGTGGACCAATGATTTCACTCACCAAAAAGCCAGGAAAACCTGCCTGAAGAATCCTGTTGGTTCTAAAATCTCTATGAAACGGAATAGCTAGATTCAATTCTAATGGTGCCTATCTTAGTGTTGATTCTAATATTTTGTAATGAAGTGTCCAAATATTTTCTTATAATATTAAACATATTTTTCATAGCTATTGTATTTTAAATAAAAAAATCTGCCTCAAAGCATTTAATACTAGCTGGCATAGTAATTATTTTAAAATCACTAAGTATATATAGATAGTTTGGATTATTTGTAGAACTCAAATGACACTTTTTTGGTGTCGTAGTAGGGATTGAACCGAGGGCCTATGCATCTCCAGTCCTTTTCATTTTTTATTCAGGGTTTCACTAAGTTGCCCTGGTTGGGCTTGAACTTGTAAATCTTTCTGCCTCAGCTGTCAGAGGGCTGGGATTATAGACTAGCAAAACATCATATTTTTACTATAATTATTTGCAACCCAAAATGCTACTTAGCAAGTGCACTAGGTTCCAAAAGTTAAACACCATTCAATAACTACTTCTGTTGTTAAAAAAAGCCATACTAAACATCAAAATTTTAATAAATCTTCATTATTCATAAAGAGCTCTGCATAGAAACTGGGACAAAGGCCCTATCTTCAAAAAATCCACAGCCTAGTGATAGAGCTCGCACTTTGGAATTAAGTATTTTCATATTTATTTTTTCAAGATCTGAGTCATTCCTTTAAATTAAAATATTCCACTTTGACATATTTAACAGGCAGTGATAAAAATGAATACTTAAGAACTCTATTACACTGAATAAAGTCATTTGTGCCATTATAAACTTGCATACTAAAAAGGTTCATACCATCATCAGTAACCTTTTCCAGCTTTGATGTCAAGCCAAATGAGAGATACAAAGAAGCAAGGACTTCTCAAGCAAGGTTGATAGCTGTCACAGCTCAAAATCAAAGAACTGGTTAATCGAGCCTCCATCATTCAAACAGGAAAAAAAAAATACAAGCAATAAAATGAACCCAGTTATGAAGCAAGAAAGCAGGGCAGGACTGATATAGAAGGAATAAGGAATACAAAGCAGCAGTGGACACAGGCTCACACATACACAGATCATCTGGCAGGAGGATTGGTTAACACAGGCATCCTGGGGTTGGGGTCCAGAGAGAAGGCAGCAAAAAGAGCACAAACTTATTTGAGTTCCAATCCTAATTCTCCTGTCTATTAGCTTTGTCATCTAAGATAATATTTAACTTCACAGAGCTATAATTTCCTGCTTGCAAAATGAGCTTATTAAAGACACTGCACCTTATAAATATGAGGATTAAGTGAAAGGATGCATGAGGAGACATCTTCTTGGCTCAACGAAGACACTTGCAAATGATAGATGTCATGGTTGACTGCCCATTCACCCAGAGGCCTGGCAAAGCATTTTCTGGTGGTCCAAAATTAGTTGAATGAGTGTGCTTTCCTTTCATATGTTCACTGGCATCATTTCCAACACTCATTACTAATTTTAGTTTTACTTGGAAAGCCTGCTGTGATGAAGCTTAGAGAAACAACAAATAATTATGCACAGAAGCATCTTTCAGGGGAAAGAATCACAAAAGGTTAAATAATTATGCACCCTGCAGCTGTAAAATACATGCAAAACTGAAGAAATGTACATCTCAAAGATGTGAATAGAGAAGCATATGTGCTTTTTCTGATCTGTAACATGTGGAAAATCATTGTTCTTGGGACAGTCATTATTCAGGGCAGATCTCTGCGTGGAACTCTGAGGTAAGTGCAGAGGAAGAATAAAACGTTGGTGACTCTGAGACAGTGGTAGGAAAGAAGATAGATAAATAAAAAATAATATAATAAAATGTGGCATTGTTGTTATAGCCAGTGAGCTCCTGGGTGTGACCAAGTTAGGTGTTCTCTAGTCACAGCCCTTCTGTGGGATATTTAATGGTGAGGTACTCATGGTTCAAATGTGGATCCATGTTAATGGCAAAGAAGGATCCATCTGTGGCTTAGATTTCAATATGGATGCTTCTCTTCTGATACAAAAGTGAGTATGTGTCCCACCTCCTTCTCATAAGACAGTGCATAAAATATGAAGGTGGCTAACACATCAGTGTGGGGAACACAGAGTAAGGTTTGGAAGAAAATAGCAGCAGTCATTTACAGATGGTGCTGCAGGGGAATTCCAGAGGGAACCAGTCAAGAGAAGTGAGGCCCACAATTACAATCGGCAAAGCAAGGTAGGAAGAAAACACTTCTGGAAGTGTTTAGTAGAGATGATTCATTTTGTTACACTTTTAATAAATATCTGTACCATTTCCTTTGGAAATGCCAACTTACATCTTTCACAGTTCTAGGGTACCTATTTACAGTTACAGCACATATTTGTAATGAAATTAGTTCACTAATTTCTCTTGTTCACAGCACAAGTCCACTCACCTTTAGCTTACACAGCATTTAGAAATCTTCCCTGAGCACAGAGCCTTGAGGTGCTCTGGAGGGAGCTTGAGTGTGTGGGCTCCTGAAGCAGGTGGGAGGCTGGGCAGGCAATGGACCTTCCTAAGAGTTTTCTTTCCTTCCACTGACAGTTATGATGGAGTGCAGAGCACAGTTTTGCACTGAGGATACCACAGGGGAAACAAGGGGATGGTTCACCCAGTAGGGAGCCAGGTCTCCCACTTGATACCAAGCTGCAGTTACAAATAATACAAGTATTGGTTGAATGAATCTAGATGAAAGTAATTAGACACCTTGTACCCATGTGCACAGTGCTTTCTATTTAATGCTCACATTATGTATGTGAGGTGGATATTGAAGAGGTTAGTTTACAGATGCGAAGACAGAAGACCTGAGAGGCAAATCATATTCTCAAGGTCATCTGGCATGATAGGCAAAGGGACTGTAATTAATAAATAATGGAAGTGGTATTTTATTTGATCTCAAGGCCTCTGCTTTTCCATAATACTATGACAGGTTCTGACACAAGGAGCAACTGCACAAGAGGAAAAGGCATTCGAACAGGACAAACAAGAGCAGAGGAAAATTGTTTTTAACTCTTGATAGGTACTATACATAGAATGGTAGTATCACCTCAAGTACCAGCATTGGTCCAAAGTCATTTTTTCTTCTTTTTTTCTTAATTTATTTATTTTGTGCTATGAGGGATTGAACTCATCTTGTGCACGGTAGGCAAATGCTTTATCACTGAGCTTCACCCCTAGTTTCATTTCTTTCAAATAACATTTCTACATAGCACTTCAGGAACACATTTTAAAAAATTATGGCAATACCCAAATTAATTAGTTGGCTCCACTTAACAATTCATCATTATAAAGAAGGAAGTAATTTGTATTTAATGTGAAGCTACTACTAACAGACACAGATATGTGGGGAACAATGTCAAGAGATGCACCAATGGAATAAACTGCTTTAAGTTATTCTGTTTCCTCTGTATCTGTTCTATTAACATGCCCAAAGAATGCAAAACTAAGTAGAGTGGTTGATTTTATAAACATTAATGCAGATAAATTAATCAACCCCATAAGCATGTAGGTGTAAATTTTGACAAAGCAATTATACATGTAGCTATCAGTGTCATTTAAAACATGGATGTGTACATTGTTTACTCAGTTGTTGCCAATGGGTTTTACATTAATGACCTGTTATCAGTACCTCTTAAATTTCTAGAACAAATGAAATCCAGGGATTTAACACAGCCCAGAAACCCATTTCATAAATTTGGTCAGCTCTAACATAAGGTTTTAATATAGGACTCAAACAAATTTTAATTGTATTTTATTAAGCTGGTAAGAAAACCAGAGAAGTTTTCATAAGAGTGCTACATTTTGAAAGCATCTCCTCATGGTAGTGTAAGGCAAACTTCTCTGATTATAAGTAGAACTGTGAGAAAAATTATCATTATAATATTATATATTAATATCTTTCTATAGACTGCTCCTTTTTTTCTATTTTGAAACTTGTTACCAATTAGGAAAATAATGTTTTCAGAATAAGCAAGTTTGTGATTTTATATAAAGATCTTAATTCTGATTTTAGACAATTCCTTTAATCTCAGGAACACAGATTTTGTTAATAATTACAAAAGTAGTTTGCCAATAATTTTTAGTCCTTAGGTGAGAGAAGTTTTAGTGGTAACACCTGAGTGCTAGATCTTTTCCCCTTTATATTGTTTTCAACCATAGCTTCAGACACAAGCCCACACCTCTTTAGACCTCTCCCTGCCTGACCTCACACCAAGCACACAGATGCTGCACTGGCTACTGTTTTTAATGAGGCTGCACAGTTAGACAGGTCTAGGAGGAAGACTAGGAAGCAGGTTTGTTCATTAACATGATGGATCCCATGACAGTCTGACACATAGCAGA